ACATGGATGCCTGGTCACTTGGCTGATACAAAAGTCCTAGAGGGCATTGGCTATAATGCGAATGGATGCCACCCCAAGTCCCAGGCCTCCACTAACAGGAAGAAGAACTATAAAAATTCTATTCGCAAGAAAATATTTCCTTTTTTGTAGATCAACTCAAAATTTTTGGTATAATGTTTTGCAGTGGACCTCCGAAAATCCTGATTTGACAAACTTGAACATCACCCCCTTCTCACCAGCTCTTTGCCTCTACTTAATTGACAGTATATCCAATCTTGTCCCACATCACTTCCTTCTTTATTACTAGACACCTATATATAGCTGCAAGTTACGAAATATACCCTTCATATGCTATAAGTGAATACTCAGTTAGTCATACGCTCCATGGAAATTGAGAAACTTATTGCCTTCGATAATAATAACTGAGCCTCCTTTAGGAAGAAATGGGCTACTTTCAAACAATCCCCCTCAGAGAACAATAATTTGATTAAGTATATACTAAAACAGTGGATAGTGTTTTTCGCGTGCTCTGATTAGCTACTCAATCAGTGAATATCCTGCACTATTCACTGATTCACCTCCAGTTCCTCCGAGCGAGCGACGCCAAACTCGCATAAGTTGCGAGCAAAATGCCTTCCCGGTTTGCTGCCGTAAACAAACAAAGAAATTTCACAACTAATCAAGCAAGCTGTTTCCGAAATACACGAAGAAGGTGACGATGTTCGGGTTGGAAGTTTTAACAGGTAAAGCTTTGTCTTTTTGACAAGAATTTATCGATAAAACCGGTGGAAAAGTTTTTTGTTTACAAATGCAAATTAAGTTTAAGTCTTCCTTACTTTATTTAGTTGAGTTGTTCATAAATAAGCTTAAAACTAAATTTAATAATCTTTTTTTAAAGAATGATTTTAAATACAAAAAGAATTCACAACTCCTTTTGAAGAAATTTCCCCGCAAGAGCTAAACAAATGCCTTCAAAAGTTTTAATTGTCGGCAAGAAAAAGCGCCGGCCGCGGCCGCCCGGGTCATTATGCGCCAAAATTGTAATCGTTGGCAACAGTATTTGAGTTAAAAATCGTCATTTTTGTGCTCAATTATCTCACTGTTTTAGTATATACTAAAACAATTATTCACCTCAGTGTCGGTGGCTAGTCGTGGATATTTACCTCACTGCTTCGCAGTTCGGTAAATACCCAGGGCTAGCCACCTCCACTTCGGTGAATTATACTACTACTTGAGAAATTTCTGCAGTTTGATTTGCTTAGAGCAGTGGTATTTCAGCTTAATTTGAAATACCTACATTTGGAAATTACAAAACCTTTGTGGGTAGTAGTATAAACAAATAATAACATGATTTGTACGTGATATTTGGTATAAATACCACTCGTGATATTTCAAAATTGTCTCAAATTTCACTCGCCTAACGGCTCGTGAAATTACGTATAACAATTTCGAAATATCGCTCGTGGTATTTATGCCAAATATCACTACAAATCATGCTATTAGCTATACTAATTGTTATCTATACAGCACTATTAGAATAAAATGGAGGTGACAAACGGGCAGATGGGGCCGGTGGAGGACAAAAAGGCAAGCAGCCTCCTCATTCGTGATTGTTTTGTAGATTGTAGTATTTTTGTGAACTTTGTCTTTCTATTTATTTTTATTTCACTTTTTTCTCCCGGTAACCGATAATAATATTTCATTGTAATGATTTGTAAACGTAATTAATTTGTAATCGTTTGAGTGTAAGAAATAATAAAAAAAAGAATTAAGCAGCATGACAGGGGTAGGGATAAGTATAATTGTGGTAATTTGTTGGTGTGTCTAGGAACTTTAACATTTTTTTAAAGTAATAATAGGCTTCGGTTGAACAAATATTTTACTGAAGAACAAAATAAAGTTTAATTGAAGTCAACAGAACCATTTCTGTTGAAGATCATAACTTATTTCGGTTGTAGTTAAATATATTGGTAAATTTAGTTGTTGAATAAACATAATTGGGTTGAAAATAAAGGAAAATCCAACTTGCTAAATGCAAAATTAAATTTTTAAAAAAATTATAAGATATACCTTCTTGAATATTAAATGGTACAATTGTTAGATTACAAATACAGAGGCCCTGCCAGAAGAGGGGGGGCGGGGGGTGGGGTCGCCCATCTGAATTTTAAAACGTGAATCCATGTGATTTTCATATTGCTGTCTTTGCATGTTTTATATCGACTGGACAACCCAGGCTTCATAAAAAAAAAAGATATAGAATTCGTTTTGACCAGACAAACAACTGGAAGGATTCGTTGCTAAACGGAGCCTTTCCTGGCCAATCAGAGAAGATTTACGTAAGTGTTAATTTGAGTTAACTGCGACTGATAAATTTGTGGGTAACACGCAGATGGGCTGCTGGTCAACTATAAAAACCAAGGATCAGCATCAATAGGAAAAGAGAGAATTGTTAAGTCTGAATGTTAGTTGTGAACTTGGCAACGAATTAAAGCGGAAAAGCAAAACAGGTCTCGTCTTTTGTTGAAAAAGAACCGGTTAATCTCTCCAGAAGGTTCTTTTAACAAGATGGCTGGATGTTGGTCTCGTTCTTTCATGCGTTTTTGCTGACCTCGAATTCGTCTTGGTGGAAAAAAAAAAAAGCCAACCTCGTCCCCAGGGAGCTTTTCCCTGGCTTTGGAGGTCACATGATCACCAAACACCCGGAATTTGTGCGTGTATGTACTAAATTAGCATACGATCGCATACAATAAACAAAACATCGAGGATGGCGAATAGACCAGAGTTTTTATCAGTGCTTTGCCGGGTTGGATTTTCCTTGAGTAATGGTATCCTTCCATCGCTTTATTTTAAACCTCTTCAAGTAAAGTGTTTCGAATCCTTCCTGCAAGACCAGGATGTCATTGGAGTCTTGCCAAATAGATTTGGCAAGTCGATGCTATTTCACGACCGTATACCCTGGGTGCTAGAGACTTTTCTAGCGGGCCGAAGATGTGTCGGCCTTCGGCCAACACCAAAAATTTCCGCCGCACGCGAGAAAAACCTTTTGTACCCAGGGTAACGACCGTACCGTTCTCGCCCCGATCGGGAAGAACAACTAAAGTTGCTCTAACTTGTAAAAGCAACTAAATTATAAGCACAAAGCCAACCCGGCAACTAATGAGGTTCTCGTAGAGAACCGAAACCATGGTCTTGCCAGTGATCACAAAGTGGCAATAATACCGGGAATAACGCAGTCCAAACACTTTAAGCTTATTCAAAAGCTATTACAAAGGAAGGAAATACTCCCCCGTATACGCGCTCCAATCAAGACTCGTATTATCTTTAGAAAATCACTAAGCTAAAGTCTACTAAGTCTCAATGCAATTCTCCGTAGTTGATACAGCTGCAGTTTAAGCTGCACTCCATTCTAATAATTTTGGATCTGAAAATCACTATCCTTGAAACTTTAAACATCCTGCAAAGATAACTAACGCGCTGGGCCCAGCGAGATACAACATTGCATAAAAAAACATAACATTCACGGACTAAAGAAAATCGCCTAGTTCAGTATCACATGTAAGACTCCATAATATGTTCCCAATATATTTAGAAGTTTCCTTCTGTTTCGATGCATTCCCCTGTTTACCCTACGTTATCCCTTGTTTCCCCTGTTTTTCTACGTTTTCCCCTGTTTCCCCGTGTTTTTCTATGTTTTTCCTTGATTTCCCATGATTTTCTATGTTTTTCCTTGATTCTCCCTGTTTTTCCGTGTTTTTCTATGTTTTCCTCTGATTCTCCCTGTTTTCCCGTGTTTTTCTATGTTTTCATCTGATTCTCCCTGTTCTCCCTTGTTTTCATACGTTTTCCCCTGTTTTCCAATGTTTTTCTACGTTTTCCTCTGTTTCCCCGTGTTTTTCTATGTTTTTCCATGATTTCCCATGTTTTTCTATGTTTTTCCTTGATTCTCCCTTTTTTTCTGTGTTTTTCTACGTCTTGCTCTGTTTCCCAACTAGTGGGGAGGAGCGTTGCGTGACGACACTAAAAATGGCTGTGTAGCAGAGTAGCAGTATTTTGGCACGAGGTAATGTATCGGTCAAATCGAAGCTTTAACATGCCCCCCCCGGGCATACCCCGGGCATTTGACACCTTTGCCGTCCCGGGGAGGAGGGAATTTGATTATCAGAGTCTTCTAGGGGGTGGAGAATTTGATCCCCATGCTTTAGGGGTGGGGAATTTGAACTGCACCCTCGATTTCATGTAAAATCTTTGGCGTGGCGAGCTATCATGGGGGACGCGGTGTTAGAGGATTTTCGTGGAAAAGATTGTGCCTTTGTGGCCAATTGTTTCCGAGGAAAGGGCTTAAACAAGCTTTGTGCCGTATTTGAAGTATTTAAATTTTAAAATTTTTAATATTGGATTCAGGCTTTGAATGTATGAATGTATTTTATTGTTGAGTTTACAATGAAATACAACACCTATACCGGCGATTCAATACAACAACATAAAAAAAATAAAAAGCTCAGGTCAACTACTTTTACCTACTGTAAGTATGTTAATTAATAAGATGAGCGATGATGCATGTCAGTAAAATGGTCATGATGTAGCAATCTCAATAGGTGGGATCTTTTTTTATACAACGCTTTGTATGTTGCACTGTGCATTCAGTGACATTGTAGCAGCGATTTCGGCCGCTTTGCACGAGACTTTTGTTCGTAGTAAATATGCTAACCGTGTTTCTCAGTTTTTGTTATATTTATAAAGATTTTGTTCGACAACTGAAGGCGTTTCCGCCGTCCTTCTGTCATTTTTGTGCCTGTAAAATGTCCCCGGGGTGGGGGCATTTGATCACCTGAATGGACCCTAGTGTGGGGCATTTGAACGGCATCTTGGCCCGGGTAGGGGGGAATTTGAACAAGAAATTTCAAAAAAGTCAAATGCCCGGGGGGGTTGCCCGGGGGGGGGGCATGTTGAAGCTTTGATTTGACCGATACATAAAAGTCGTGTATGCCTACCCCCCCCTTTTATTGCGGCTCATCCACTGCATCGAAGCATTGGGTGGCATATCCTTTGACGGAAGCTTCGACGACTGATGTAAAGACAATGAAAATTAAACGCATCGCTTTACAGAATATTCTGAGTTTAAATCATACGACGTATTGTCTACATTTTGAGCTCTCCGAATAAACTGATTCTTTGTCTACGAAGTAACGCCACTCCTACATAACACTGCTCACCTCGTATCGTCAGCTGTATCGTCCTCAGAAATTTTTATACGGTCTGATACCACAGGTTTTATAACCTTTCGAACACAGATGTTTAGATAAGCCGGCCTTGCTGAATATTCGAAGCACAGCGACACTCGTGAGAACCACCACATAGCCTGCAAACTGGATTTCTTCTTTGGAGTGGTCATACTTTCCGCCATTTCAATTTCGGTATAATGCATAAATTATTTTCATTTGGCTATTTTCTTACATAAATTACCTAAATCAATCAGCCAATCAAAATGACGGATTGGCAGGCCGATGCCAGGGCCTTTTCCCGCCCCACCTCCAAAGCCAGGGGAAAGCGCCCTGGGGACGAGGTTGAAAAACCACTTGTTCAATAGCTAACCATTATGACCTCACGTTTGGTCAATAATGATATCATCTTATGTATTTTACAGGAAGTTGTTCATTTACAAAATGCTTCCACACAAAGTAGCTGTTAATGTGATTCTTGTGCTGATTATATCATCTACTGGTGAATCTTATTGGCATTTGAAAGCTGCAGGTAAATATGTGCAATCCAAGCAAAAGGTTGTAGACTCACTTAGTTACCAAATTCCATTGGCTCGTATCAGAAACTCATAAGAACTCAAAGATCTCCTGCTGTGTTTTCCCGCTCATTATTTTTTGTTAGCGTTGTGCAGCGGGTTTCGACTTATAGAAGTCTCTTCGGCTTTCTTTTTATTCCCCGTCTGTCGTCCACGTTTCAGCTCCTTATGAGTTACTCAGTCGTATACACGTATCTTAACTTCACGTAACCAATGAAAGAGTATTATAAGTACAGGCCATTCGCACGATGTTTTGATCGCGAAAAGCCAGGTAAAAAGATATTGTTTATGAATGGAAGAAAGAAAGACGATCCCATACGAGTAAGTAAGCCTTCGTCATCACTGATATTCGTACAGTTAGTACGAAGGCTGTGTTTTTAAATTTTACCAAGATTGATGACTTTTAATCCTTAAATGACGTACTTTACGATTGGCTGACTCCATTTTTTAGCTTTTAAACACCACGAATGGACGAACCACAGGAGTGGCGTTAGGCCTAGACACAAAAAGCTGGATTCTTTTTTGAAATTAGGATTCTTAGAGCATCAGAAGATTTTTAAACTATTGGGGATTTTTAGATTATCATGAAAAAAAAAATGGTTCTATTTTCTTTGCCTCTTTATTTAATTTCCTATGAAATGATAAGTTTGTCCCATTGTTTACTACTTGGTGACTGCTAGACTGCAATCCAATCGTGCAGCGGTGTTTCCTTTTTCTAAAGCATCCCGTCATTCCACTCGGCACTCTTCTGCTGGAACCGACATTGAGTGCCTTTTGTTTAATAAAAGCGCTATCAAAAAAGCGTACAAAATGTGTATGCCGTTTTCTTTTCTTAAAGGGAGATCTGAGGTTTTATTAAAAAATATTGTGAGATAAATAGAAATTTTTAGAAAATTTAGGGATATTTTGGGATTTTTAGAAACTTTTTGGGATATTTTCCGCCTTGGTTTTTACGACCACTTAAGTTGTTTGTTTGCATCATAAGTTACTCGGCACAAGTAGCCCGTATTCACCGGGGGAAAATGTTGTCCAAAGTTAAGAGTAAAATTAAATTAAATTTCCGTATTCAAATAAAATGAAAAAAGAAAATCGGTTGTAACTAAATTGTTTCTTTAGGAACTTTGCCTATGGAATTTCTGGAGTAGTTTTTCTGATTCTCGCTAAGCGGAAACCACTCCTTTAGAAAAGTAAAGAGTGTTTTAAAACACAGGGCTGACTATTGGCAAAAACATCTATTTGGCTCGGTTTTAAAAACAGAGCTTAAATGGTGTTACTAAAATAAAATGGCGATCTAAATTATTTTTTGCTTTGCGATGACTTCCGGAGGCAAAAAATTAGTACCCTCTTCCACAGTCTTCCTCACTGCGCACTGCGCATTGGTCCGGCCAACTGGGCTAACTCTTAGCTTGTCGTTCAGAGCCGTCAACTCAAAATAAGCCACTTATAAACAGGTGTCTAAGAAAGTCCGCACTTATTATAACCGACCCCTAGAATGGTCAAGTAATTTCGTCTTATCATCAATTCCCATCGAAACCCTCATACAGTGATAAAATTGAGTACATTACATGAACTGAACACTTCTCTTCTTTGTAGCAGAATGATAAGCAGACTTCGAAGCAAAACATTTTAGGTATTCACTTTTTACTCTTCTGTCAATCACAATTAGAACGACCAGTAGGATCAACCAATAAGAAGAAAGTGGATTGAAATCTACCAATCATGTATCACTGTGCTGTCGATCATTGTTCGTACACCGGTTCACTGTATTATCATGGTATCGAGTGCCCAGCCACTCAGTGCGATTAGCTTTTGCTATTTCTGAGTGGCTGTGCTCTCTTTTTTCACAATTATTTCCTTTTAATGTCTTAACATTTTTTGTATTAAAAGCACAATAAAGATTGTTGTTGTTGTTGTTGTTCTTGTCGAAAATGAATCTTTTTAGACTAGTTTGTTAGATAAGCCATTAACCCTACAGGGTTTAATTGACTGCTCCCGAAAAGCTGTGAATACTTATTTCCCTATTTCATTTGGTTTTATAAAGAAAACCGTATGTTTGAATTTTAATTATGGCTGAACTGATTAATGACATAATGCAAAGCGTAAGACTTTATAGCACGCATTTAGGTCCAATTATGGGTCATAGGTTCCGTAGCCTGAGGCTTTTGGATCTATTCAGCTGCGCTTTTATCACGAATTTTGAAGAATGAAGCTTACACCGACGGATTATGCCATAAAAATTCGTATAAAAATGTTTCAATTTTCCTTTACAGGCGAGGAAACTTTGAAAAAATCTTTAGAAAGGGATATGTTTGGTTTTGGATTTGAGCTTTGCGATAGAAAGCATGTATACACAAGCGCATGATGTAACAGGTCTTTAAACAGATGAATAATAATTGTTAGCATTACTGAATGCATGCTACTACCGTAGCACTTTGTACGATCGATCGGGTGTTTTTTTACCTGTATTTTGGCTGGATAATTGCTAATTTAAAAACAGACCGGTCTGAACTTTGCTGAGAAATTCAAGCCTTTTCCCGAGCAGGAAAAAACTGGTCTTAGCCAATCGCAAATAAGATTATAAGTGTTAAGACTAAAAATTAAATGTAATTTTGTATTTAAATGAACCGGAAAATACTTCTGAATACTTTCGGTTTTTTAAAACGATAAAAACGATAAGACGTTAAAACGATAAAACGATAGTGTTTGTTTATAGACTTTGTCTGTTGAGTTACTAGGAAAGTTTTACTGTATCAGCGACTTAGCGGAAAGCAACAATATCAACTTAGTTCAAAGTAGAACCCCGTCAGCATTTAAGTCCAAGACTTCAATTGATGACTCCGTGGTTATTTTGAATTAATCATAGTCACTATATATTGGTAATGTATCAGAGTACAAGTAGGTGTCTGCTTTCACCATCGATTTTGTGCTGTTCGAAGACAAAATGAAGATGCAGACCAGAGTCTGGATTTATTTTTATTGGTATAAGTTAAGTTGTGTACTTGTATCGTTAACAACTCGGGACGATTAGGGGTAAGAGAAAAGTTGTAGAAGGTTTGGATTCCAATTTTTAATTTCAATTTCTTATACCTATAAATTGAAAATAATTTTCGCTGTTAACTGAGTCGTTTGATCATAAATATTGCCTGTGAAGTTTTGCTAAGGAAGTTTTACTGTCTCACTGAGGCGTATAGCGTTCCGTTGCGGACAAAATTATACCGATGGTAAAAACATGTTGAAAACATAATACGTAAGTCAAAACTTGTAAAATACACCAAATGCAATAAAAAATATGAGTCGAGGTTTGCAAAATATATATGTTCAGGAACGAAAAAAAAATACTAAGCAAATGTCATGACTTCAAACACGAGTCGAAATTTTGAAATTTGAGTCGAAAAAAATATGCGAGTCGAGTTCAAAAAAAAAAAACTTGAGTCGAGAAAGAGAGAACGCTGACCAGTTGTGTTATCAATCAATGTCTTCACTTCACCGAGACGAGGCTTCGATCCAAAGTAGTGGTTTGTTGACTACCAAATATTGCAGATTTTTTCTTCTCCCTTGCTAGACTTATCGAGGACTTAGAAAGGCAGCTTAGTTCAGCTTCATATGACAGTTCAGAATTCTTATTTCGGCACTTTGACGAGTACAAAAGGACACTTGCAACTCTGTCGTCAAGATTTTGTGAGACTTGCGGTTGTTTAGAAATAGGGAAGTTCACCCTTTCTACGTTAAATCGGACTGGAACCCACCGGTTCAACCATTAGAAGCCCTCGAGAGAGGTTAAATCACAACTGGCAGAGATACAAATAACAAAGCCAAAACACAACCTGTCACGCAAGGACCGACAAGCATTAAAAGAATTACAGCAAAACACTGGCGCGCGGCATCGACATCATCAAGCGGTCAAGGGAATCACTACAGTAGACATGAACCAGACATGTTTTTAACTCGAACTCCCCGATAAACTCGAATTAAGTCCCATTCCTTGCTTTTCAGTCATTTTTACTCGGCTAATTCGAATAACTCCAACTAAATTTCCTTTCCCTTCATCAAAATTTCCCTGAAACTTACCCCCGGCCGATAACTCGAATTCTGGTTCTTGTAATTCCACTCGGATGTCATTTCATTAGTTCCTCTTGTTGTAGAATCGGTAAAAAACGCTAAAACCAACACTACAGCAATTTAATATTAATTGTTGCAACGAACAGATCACGTTTTTTTCATAAATAGGCATAATAATGTTACCGTTTCTGATGAAATTGGTAAAAAAATGCGCTGTCAGACAGTATACACTGAAGCAATAACTCGGACCCCCGCTTACTAGAACTATTTTTCGTTAACTTCAGAATTCGAGTTACCGTGGTTCATCAAGCGCACAAAGGAATCAAGGAGAATTTCCTCTTTTGTAAACACACGGTCTCACTCCAGTATAGATGTGACTATTGTGAGGCCTGTTAATTAATTACCCTCTTTCTGTTGGACAGTCACACCCGAAGATTATTGGTCGTAAGTTATAGTTGGTGTGTAAATTTTTGTAATAGTGTATAACTCTGGTGTTCTAGGTGGATTGGGTGTTTGAGATTTGCCATTATCTCGTCATTTCATCATCATGT